ACTCCCTGGTGAGGTTTTCCGGGCACGTCCAACCGAGAGAAGGCCTAAAAGTAAGACCCAGGACACGCTGGAGGGACTGTGTCTCTCAGCTGGCCAGGGAACACCTTGAGTTTCCCCCCAGACGAGCTGACCCAAGTGACTGGGGAGAGGGAAGTCTGGGCCTCCCTGCTTAGGTTGGGGCCCCAGCGACCTGACTCTGGGTGAGCAGAAAAAAAATGGATGGATGGATGAGATCCACAAAATAAGTAGCAGCAAGACCAGGTAGTTTTTCAGTCCCATCATCCAACAACACCAGGCAGGGCTTTCGTTTCATCATGTGACACCAATAGAGTGACCAGATACGTTAGCTTGAAGCAGACTCAGGTTCTGATGTGGTACCATAGTTTGAACCAGACCCTGGGCCTGAGGAGGTATCAGAACTTGCTTCAGACTCTGGAACTGATTTAGTACCTTTGGACCTGATCTTGGACCAGACCTTAGCTTTATTCAGACTCTGTATCAGAAGTGGCACTACAGCTTAGAGGAGACTCTGGGCCATATCTAGTTGGATCAGATCTTAGCATCAACCAGACCGTGATACCATTCCATTCAAAGGAATTCCCATGTGGTAATGTTATATATTTGTGTGAAAACTGGTAAAGGAACAAATTAATGGTCCCAAAGTCCAGAGGCTGTGTTGGTTTTAAGTCAGGGTGTTGGAGAAGTCCTCTATAGAGGAACATGAACAAAACCCAAGAAAGAGAACATGATGGACTCTCTCTCTCTCTCTCTCTCTCTCTCTCTCTTCTCTCTCTCTCTCTCTCTCTCTCTCCTTCTCTCTCTCTCTCTCTCTCTCTCTCTCTCTCTCTCTCTCTCTCTCTCTAGGATCAAGGCTCACTTGACCCTAAGTCGGTAATATACACCAACGTTTCCTTCCTGAAAAAATCATCCCAACCTCAGATCTCCGTTACCCAGCCTCCAGCAGACCCTGTCCCACCAGATCCCACAGTCTTTTCATTTAGCCCCCCTTCCAGTCTGACAAGCCCCGCTTCCCCCCGCTAAACCTGCAGGATGGATGGCAGGTAAGAGGACTTATCCTGGGAGTTGTTATTTGTTGGGTCCTTTATTTCTTTTTCTGCTAAAATAAAAATTGTGATAAAATAAAATCCAAAGTCAGTGAGAAGTGAGGAGAAAAAATTTAAAAACAAGGAGTAAAAGAAGGTACAGTGCTTTAGGCAGGTGTGAAAATGCTGTAAACAATAAACACTTTCAGAAATATAAATACTGATTGTTTATTTTTCTCCGATTTACGAAATTTAAAGTGAGTGACCCCAAACATCTAGTCAAAGTCCTTCAGAACCATCTTCAGCATAAAGAAGAACCAGAAGTCCTGGAAGTGATGGTCTGGCCCCCGCAGAGCCCCGATCCTGACATCATGAGTGTGTGTGGGATTACAGAAGGATGTGAGGAAGCCTGCATCTGCAGAAGATCTGTGGTTAGTTCTCCAACATGTCTGGAACAACCAACCATCCCAGTTCCTTCAACAGCTGTGTTCAATAGAAGACCTGATGCTGTTTTGGAGGAGGAGGGTGGTCCCACCAGATCTGATTTAGATTTTGTTTTCACTGCTTTTTGTTGATTGACGAAAATAAACGATTAACACTTTTATTTCTGAAATCAGTCTTAGTTGACAGCATTTTTCACACCTGCCTAAAACTTTTGCACAGTGCTGTATTTATAAAATAATAATAATAATAATATTTGATGGATCCGGATGAAAAGGTGAAAGGAAAGATGTGAAACTCCATTCCCGCTAACGTTCTTACCTTCTCTGTGAGTTTAAACTCAGTGCCACGTGTGTGCTTCACTGAAATCATTAAAGTTTGATTCAGTGGAAGCTGAGCTTATCAGGTTTCCTAAACAGAAATCAGATATTTCAGAAACAGGGGACTGGTCGCTGCATTGCTCAAAGGCACTTCAGTGCATTTAAACCAGACCAGGTCAGAGAAACTGTCAGAAACAGAACCTTTTTTTTACCGTTAAGAATCTTTTTAAACTGTTCATCTTGAAAACATCAGCTTCTGTTTAGGTGAAGGTGTGAAATCCTGTAAATTTATGCTGAGTCACTGTATCTTCATTAAGGTGCACACTGACCATGACAGTGGGAAGTCATATTATTACCATCCAGCAACCAGACAAACCACCTGGTCCCATCACCATAGCCTGACACCGGCTGGAGACACAGGTCTGTCCAGTCCACTCTCCCCAGCTTCCTCTCAGGTATCAGAACCTCCTCTCTGCAGTATCACTGTGACCCACTGGACCCACTCACTGACAACCTTTCTGTCAGGGCTCCGGGGATTGGGAGCAGCTTATGGATGAAACATCAGGAAGAATCTACTTCCATAATCCCAATACAGGTGCCACATCCTGGTCTGTCCCAGAGCCACAGTCCCCCATGTCGTCACCTGGATCTACAGCCAGCAGGCCGCAGGACAACAGGCCGGTACTCCATCTCTTATGTATTAACATGTTAATATACCACACACACACACACACACACACACACACACACGCACGCATGCACACACACACAGGAGCTCTGCACAGAACTAAATCTGCTAACGCTGTAGGAACCAGATGTGCTCAAGTAGCCCTGTACCTGCTGATGATGTCACACTACATGACTGGCTCTACGTTGGAACATTGACATAAAAGATTTTGGTTGGTCTATTCAAACTTACGGATTGTGCTCAAGCAGCCATATCTGCTCAGGGTTTTAGTTATAATTTAGAGGAGTCCACCGAGTCCACTGGTCTCAGGGTCAGGGTGAGAGAGTCCCAGAGTCTGGGGGCCACAGCAGCAGGACCTCAGTCCCAATGCAGAACTCTACCACACACACATGCAGACACCGAACACTAAAATGACCCCTAACATGACCCTAACATGGCCACTCTTTTATCATCTGAAGCCTCCCCTCCCAAAAGAGGACTACCCGGATGGAGCCAAAGATGATACTGTCTTTACAACGGTACAAGTTGAACAAAAGCTAGTCAAGAGTTTTCGTGGTTTTCTTTGGGTTTGACTTCCTGTTTCTGTTCCTGTTTCCTCAGCAGCAGCAGCAGCAGCAGCAGGGTTTAATACCCCGAGCTCAGCTGGAGCAGAAGGACACAAACATCCAGCACAAGCAGCAGGAGGTAATCAGTCCGCATCAGAGAAAGTGCTGGTTAGCCTTTGGTTCAGATTTTGATTTCTGCGTCATTTTTGTTGCTCCTAAAGCATCTACCAATAAAAAGTATGAGTGTATTCCCCAGAGTCAAACTTTGAGCACAAATGTTCACTGACTGAAGTTGTGATCTGATATTTTTTATTAATAATTTTAAAAAAAGTTCCCTTTCTTTAGAACCACTTTTAAAATAAAGTGTTTACTTCAGAGGCTTTGTTACAGTCTCACACACACTAGTGGTAGGAGGTCAGCTACTGATGTTGATATGATCTACAGAAAGGGCTGATGGGAAATGGAGTTTGTGATGAAGGAGTGGTTTTGCAGGTCAGAAACCTGAGACACAGCATCGCTGAAGAAGTGAGTCAGATAATAACAAACAAACAATGCAAACTCGGTAATGATCATGACACCTGGAACACCTAAGTTTGACTTTATGTGTTACAGACATTCACACCTGGACACAGGAGGATCGCTTCAGATGTCACAGAAGCTTCCAGAAAGCCTTCCCTTGACAGTCCACAGGTGAAGACTCACTGGTCCGGCTGCCAGACCACAGTTAGACCCTTTCACTTGCACAATAGACCATCAGCAGTAACGTGTTCATTGGCTGACTCATCCATTCACTGACACCTGTTCTCCTCCCAACCAGCTCTCTAGTAAACACAGATTGAGAAGGAATCTGTCCAATCAGGGCACAGACTTCAACCAGCTGGGTGTACATGTAGGTTCTACGTGACTGTTGACTGTTGGGTTGTCTGTTCGTTGAGGTTGCCATGGCAACTGCACTTACTAACCATTGGCTCTAACATGTCATTTGCTCGCTGAAGGGAAGGAACTTTGTGGGCAGATCAGAACAACGGCACCCCCTGCTGTGGACGTTCAGCTTTACTGACTGTTAGAAAGAATCACAGAGAAACCGAGATCCTCATGAAACTAATCTGACTCTGACTCTTTTGCCCAGAAAGTTTCTGTTTGCATCTCACTCTACTAACCCATAACCACTGGTTGGTTTTGGTTCAGCTTATGGTTCTGCTGGAGCCCCTTATTGATAGTCTGTTAACATCTATGATTTCCAACACCATCCATCCATCACTCAACATTATCAAAACCATCGTACCTGATACAACACAGTCTGACATGTCCAACACAACCAGCTTCATTAAACACATCTAGAAACACCCAACACCATCCAACAAGTCCAGCACCACCCACCATCTTCCTACAACACGTCCAACACCATATCCACCCACAGCCAACCAAATCCACCACTGTCCATTACCCTCCAACAACACCCATGCACATGCAACATGTCCAACGTCATCCAGCTTCACCCAACAAGACTAGCAATATCCAACAACATCCAATTTCTATTCAATTTTCAGTGAATGTTGAATATCCGTTGGTGGGTTTAGGATCTAATGAACCAAAGTTTCTGATTTCCTGTAAAGATTCCAGTATGAAGTAGGCCAATGGACACCCCCAGGCAAACTCTCTCTCCACTCCCCAGTTTACAGATGGACCGCCTTTGTAAGCCGACCTGCAGCTTTACAAAAGCCACTAGACTCACTTGCATGTCTGTCCCTGCAGGGCCATGTGCTGGAAAAAGCAGGAATCGTCAACAAGACTAAGGTGGTTGACAACAGCAAGAAGATCAGGTGAGCCCAGCAACTTCAGATCCTTGCAGCCTGCGTTTGAAAGGTTTTACTGCAGCAGATGTGTCACCCACCCCCATTCTTTGATGTGCTGCTGGACAGAAAGAACTGGAGTCAGTCCTGGACCGTCCTCCATGGGGGGATTCTGACCTTTTACAAAGACCCCAAATCTACTCCTGTTGGCAGTGCTGTAAGAAATGGTTTTCAGTTCATTTATGTAGAAAAACATGTAATAAAAGTTAACAGTATGTTTGAAAACATGCAGTACACTTCTTAACACCCTGTCTGTTCCATTGGAACAGGACACTTGAAAAGTGGATGATGAAGATGATGATGGCTGTGATTGTTTTGATGATGATGATGATGATGATGATAACGATGATGATATGATTATGCTGAAGATGATGATGATGATTTCGCCCACTTCTCTTTCTCAGAGCAAAGCTTCACAGATCGTTCCAGAGTACACGGTGGAACTGAAGGGAGCCTCGATTCAATGGGCTACCAAAGACAAGTCTTCCAAGAAGCATGTCCTTGAGGTAAGCTCTGCACAGTAACAACTGTTTCCTCGGTGACAGTCAGCTGCAGAAGCTCTACCTGGTTTACACAATAGTTTTAGTTCTGGAAAGAGTCCATCAGAGAGCCATGTCATGTCGGATATTTTGGAGATAAAAGTCCAAGAGGTTAGACTGATATGGTTTATGTGGTGAAAGAGTACAGGAAGTTAGTGAGGGTAGAGGAATGATTTGCTGTAGAGACCCATAAAGGGAAAGGTCCAAGGAGAAGAAATTTAGTGTTCCAAGTGGTCACTGGTCCTTAGAGGCATAACTACGGTCCCTCACCTTACTACTGTTGTTGTTGTATTTATTTCTTGTATTTAATTGCTGTGTGTGTGTGTGTGTGTGTGTGTGTGTGTGTGTGTGTGTGTGTGTGTAGCTAAAAACTCGCCAGGGTTGTGAGTATCTGATGCAGTCTGATGCTGAAAACATCATCTTTGACTGGTTCAAGGTGGTCCAGGACACCATTCAACAGCTGGGGCCACAACACCATCCGGTACAACTCTCTCTCTCTCTCTCTCTCACACACACACACACACACACACACACACACACACACACACACACACACACACACACACTCACGCACGCACGCACGCACGCACGCACGCACGCACACACACACACACACACACACACACACACACACACAGTTACCCCATGTGATCCTAGAGAACTTTGACTCGAGAACTGACATGTTGTTTCTTTCAGGAACACAGGAATCTGAGCGATGATGAAGACGAGGCGGGTTCTGATCGGGAGGACAGAGACAAGAAGAGGCTACGTGAGTCTGCTCAACCCAGTCAAAGGTCCTGAGCTGCCTCCGTCTGAGGCATGCTGCTGATGAAGAGCCGAGGCTGAAAGGAAAAAGATTACTTTTAGGACTTTATTTCATTTCTCAGGAAGCAGATTATATAAATGACAGTTCTAAATAAAAGCTGACTGAAGTGAAGATTTACTGTGATTACCTGCTTTTCCTCTGTTGTGTTCAGTTGTCATCAGATTCAGTCTCCTCACTTCTTCCTTTGATGTTCTTTTAGCCAGCAGAAATTCTTCAGAGCTGGACCCTGAGCAGAGCCGAGTACGACGCAAACTGAAACGTTTCCTCCAGCGAAGGCCAACACTCCAAAGCGTCAAAGAGAAGGGATACATAAGAGGTACAAAACAAAGCAGAACACCTGTTCTGCCTTTCTTTAGATGAAGCCCCCAGGTTCATGTTCTGGTTCTGGTTTTAGTTCTGATTCATCTCGTTGGTTGACTGAAAATTAACAGAACTAAATCAGATTACTCTGCTGGGTCTGTAAATTAGTTTGGCTCCCAGAAAGGAAAAAACAAACAACAAAAACACATAATTAATAAAAAAAATATTAGAAAGCGGTTTTATTGTTTCAGATAATGTGTTTGGATGTCACCTGGATACGCTCTGCCATCGAGAGAACACCACCATCCCAAAGTTTGTGGAGAAATGTATCAAAACTGTGGAGAGGAGAGGTGATAACACACCTGGTCACACCTCACACACCTTGTAGACATAGTTTTGGTCAAAACCACGATGAGCTGCCAGTCTGACACCTCGTACTTTTGTGTATCCAGGTCTGGATGTGGATGGGATTTACAGGGTGAACGGAAACCTGGCTGTGATCCAGAAACTACGGCACAAAGCAGATCACGGTAAATCCAGAGCTGGCTACTGATTCAGATGGTTCCTGCAGGACTACTAACAGTTTTTAGGTTAATTCTGCAGAGGAACAACTGGACCTGGAGGATGGGCAGTGGGAGGAGATCCATGTGGTCACCGGAGCACTGAAGCTGTTCTTCAGAGAGCTTCCAGAGCCACTGTTTCCCTTCAGCAGCTTCGAGAAGTTCATATGCGCTATCCGTCAGTAGACCACACACACACACACACACACACACACACACACACACACACACACACACACACACACACACACACACACACACACACACACACACACACACACACGCACGCACGCACGCACACACACACACACACACACACACACACACACACACACACACACACACACACACACACACACACACACACACACACCAATACCTCCTCAAACGTTTCCTCCTGATTGCTCAGCTGTCAACAACATCTGGTAGAACATGACCATTTGTTGTAACAGAAACACTTAAACATGCAGCCTGGGTGGATCAGAACCAGCACTGAGAGGTGTGGTTCTGATCCAGACACAAAAGGGATGAGGAGCTCTTTCAGAATAAATGTAAACTAACATTTCAAAATAAAATAACAAAGGTTAAAATGTATTAGATTTTACTTTCAAACTAATTTCTGAGTTTAAATGTAAGAATCTGGCAAAGAAAAGGTTCCCATGTTTAAAGCGTTGTGTTTGTTTCCTGCAGAACTTCCAGATTACAGCCTGAGAGTTTCCTATGTGAAGGATCTGGTCCGATCTCTGCCGCTGCCAAATTACGACACCATGGAGTTGCTCTTTAAACACCTGTGCAGGTGAGTTTAACCTGCCAGACCAGAACCAGCCAGCCAGTTCTGGGTCTGGATCAGCCACACAGGAAAGTACAGGAAGTGATTCAGGACCTGTTCTGTTCACTCAGACTGTAGCGGACTCTTTGGGTCAGAACGAGAACTCAGGCATAGTTTGTCTGTTTCAGGGTGGTCGAGCACAAAGAGTCCAACAGAATGTCAGTTCAGAGTGTGGCCATCGTGTTTGGACCCACCCTGCTTCGTCCGCAGGCCGAGTCTGCCAACATGACGGTCCACATGGTGTTCCAGAGCCAGATCGTGGAGCTCATGCTCAACCAGTACAAGAACATTTTCTCTGAGAGGTAGAACCAGCCCCACGGTCTACCTACGGAACCTTTAGAACATCAGCAAAACCCTCCCTCAGAAGAACCTCCAGCTGAGGTCCAGATGGCTGAACCCAGAACCTTTGTACACTGGACTGGGTCTGGAAAGCTGCTTTAAAGAAGTGAACCAACAGGGTTGGGTCTCATGGCACCTGAACAACCACAGAACCTCAAAGTCTCCTACTGGAACCCAAACACAAAACCCCAGAACCCCTAGCTGCTATCAGAACCAAAACAGAACTTTATTTTAACCCTTGGATACCTCACTCAGCCAATTCTCAGATCCTTTAGCGGGTTCCAGCAGAACCACAACTGAAATGTTCATCAAAATCCTACAACAGACAAGAGTCTGAGCTGTATTCAATCAATCGCCAGTTTCTGTTTTTAGCTTAACGGGCTGGTACCCGACCGGTTCTGCTTTCTTTGTATAAATGAACCAGGACTGGAACCTGAAACCTTCAGGCAACCAAACTTCCAGAACGCATTTTTATTCATGAGAAGGGGAACCAGGACCGGTGCTGTTCGGTGACACTAACAGGTTTAGATCATCACTTCTGGTCTAGAGGGTTAACCCGGTTCTGGAAACCTAAATCACTTCCTGAAGCAGGAACTGTGTGAAAATCTGAGGACATCACAGGATCCAGATGGATCAGAACTTTTGGGCTGTGTTTTTTTTTTTTTTGTGACAGAACCTGGATCTGTTTCTGGTGGACTGAAAGCATGAAGATGGATCAAAACCACTAAATACAAAAGGAGAATGAAACATCCTTAAATGTTTAAATCTAAAACGGACCAGGCCGGTTCCGAGTGACTCCAGAACTCGTGTTTATCTGCTCTTATTGATCTGATTTTTATGAGCTTAAGAAACAGAACAAAGTTCTGGTGGACCAGAACGGTTATTGTACATGAGACAGAATTTTATTAAAACTAAAGTGGATCAGAACCACAGAACCCAGATGTGTTTGTTTGGTTCCTCAGCAGCTCTAGAACTTTACAGAACATGTCCCCATCAGAGGGCAACAGCGTTAGACCAGAACCACAGTGGGAAGGCGACAGACGTGTTGTCCAGGAAGTGAAACCCTGAGTCTGTCACCATGGTAACTGGCTCTGTGATCTACACCTGCTCCTGTCTGGTTACCAGCGTTCTACAGACCAGTCTGAGCACATCTGTGCTGAATCAGACTAGAAATCGAGTCAGTAGATGATGTAGCAGCAGGACTTCAGGTAGGTCTGAAACAGTCGCTCTGTTTCTACTGTAAAAGTCAGAAAATGAAGCTCTAATCCTACTGGAGGAGCAGTCAGGTCTGTTTACCTGCAGTTGTCATGGCGATGCCAAAGCCTCATTGGTGGAGACTTTCAGCTCTAGCTGAAGTTAAAAAAATCTAAGCTGATCTGGAAGTGAAACTGGTAAAAAGCAAAGTCTAGTCTGTAGGATGTACAACGTCCAGCGGACAGGAAGCAGCAGTGATCAGGTCTCCAGATGTCTCTGAAACTGTTTATTTAGCTGTTTGGTTTGAAAACTTCAACACTGTTACATCTAATTATTTTGTAAATAAAACAACACATTTGTTATTTATTTTAAAAAAAAGAGTCATGGAGTGAAGTGATGCTCAGTGGTTGTCCATCACATGTTGCCCGGAGCGATGGGATTCCAGCTCTGGCTCCGTGGAGCTCTGTCTTTGTCCTTCTTTTCCAGGGGCTTCAGGTGAGAGGTCAGGACAAGGTCTCTGAAGGACAAACAAGCATCACAGCCTGGACATGTTGCAGAAACATCCACATCAGCTACATCAAGGTCATTATGGAATGCCACCAAAGACACTAGAACACCAGGAAGCCCCACTGAGTAGATGGAAATGGTTTTTACTGGTTTAAGTAGAATCTGACAGAATCAAGTCCAGACCTTCATGTCGTTGTAGAAGTTTGCTAAACGTGAGTTCAGATGAAAGCAGGACCTGGACCACGGACCTACCTGAACTGTTCGTAGCTGACTCGATTGGTGACCGCTCTCAGCTTGGTCTCGTTCTCACGTTGGTATCGTCTCTCTGACTCGACTGCTGCTCGAAGCTCTTGCTCCAGGGCTGCAAAGTTTATGACATCTTGCTGTGACATCACTGCCCCCTAAAAGCATCATACAGATAAAGGTATTTGATTAACCTTTATTTAACCAGAAATCAGCTTTTGAAATGAGAAGAAAAATCTGCTGAGGCAGGTGGTGGGGGGTCTATTCAGACTACAAGTTCACCTGGTGACAAGTTAAAAGTAAAGCACAACCAGGGGTCTGAGATAGCAGACAGCTGGGACAACTGAAGGAGTGATAGGGATGTGGGGTGGATCTGTCAGCTGTGATTTCCTGTTCACAGGCTTCAGCTCCAGCTTCAGCCAAGCTGTCTGCAGTCAGGACCTTCAGCCCACCAGTTCTGGATGGAAGTTTAACAAAGCTTGCATTGATGTGTTTATTTGCAGAGTAACATAGACGGTAAATGAAACAAATAGGGACACTATTCCCAAAGCACTGTAATGAATGCATAAATCTAAAGAGAGACCAGTTAGACATGGACACTGAGCATAAAACAGATATATCTCCTCCCTGTGGCTCAGCTACAACCTATAGCTTTGGCCCCGTCCCCAGACCTCCACCAGAACACTTACACCACTCACTTATCAATGGAGGCTTTGTAGAGGGATGAAATACCTCAATCCACCTTGACCTCCACCTGAGAACTTTTGTTCTGAACCTTCACACTGATGTCCCAGAGCACCAGGCCTTTGTAGAAACTACTCCCAAAACTAAAACCGGTGACCATCCGAGAGCCCAAAGTTTCAGAGTCTCTTTGATCCCAGAGTAGCTTCCTGCGTCAGCACGTGACTGTTTATGTTTAACCTGCTCACCTGACGCTAAGGTCCTGCTTGTGCTGCTGTTTACCGACGCGGGTCGCGTGAGTTCGGACGGTCAGAGACGTTGCTGCTCGGTATAAACTTACTGTTCCCATGACGACGGTCGGTTCCCTCTCAAGGACTCAGCTCCGGCGATCTATGCTGCCCTCTGGCGGACATGAGAGGTTTCGCAGGAGGTTTGTTCCAGAAGGTTCTGCATCAAATGTTTTCGTTTGATTGATAAACGCGCCCAACAAGCTGGCTACCACAACTTCCTGTCAGAATAGATACAATAAAAGAGTACAGCCCAGAATAAATGTAATAAAATTATTTTAAAGTGTGCCATTGGCAATTTAGGCCTTCATCTCTGTCATCTTTTGTTGTGGTGAGTTTTCTTCTCTCCAGATAATCAAATTCAATTTAATCTGGTTCATTGTTTAATGCACCATTTTGTTTAAAATGCCAGTAGAAAACTAAACACACCATGTTGGTCTATTAGTGTTGAATAGCTCTGTTCACTGACTTGAACAATTTGGTTATTCAGATTTAGCCTTAGTTGGGCCAGTCGCTTAAAGGTGCAATATGTAAAAACGAAGTAAAATTGACGGCGGCTGGTGAATTATTATTTTTTTATTTGGTGGGGTACAATTTAACAGGTGTGACGAAAAGAGCATGCCAGCCGAGACTGGCATGGTTATGGGAAAGGTACATTTGAATAATGAGGTTTTCAAATATATTTGTACTATTAACATCTTTCTTACTTGCTTCCTTACAAAATAATGGTTTATGGGTAGATAAATAAATGAAAAGTTACAATTTATTTGAAAAATTTAACAGTGAATCTGAAATATTTGTACTTTTGAGTCACATTCCTGTCTTTTTTAAAACCAACAGCAATAAACACACACACACACACACACACACACACACATATATATATATATATATATGTATATATATATATATATATATATATATGTATATATATATATATATATATATATATATATATATATATATATATATATATATATATATATATATATATATATATATAGACATGGACACTGAGCATAAATCAACAAATATATATATATATATATATATATATATATATATATATATATATATATATATATATATATATATACGCATTCCCTGGCCAGCTGTGAGACATAGTCCCTTCTGCGTGTCCTGGGTCTTCCTTTAGGCCTTCTCCCGGTTGAACGTGCCTGGAAAACCTCACCCAGTAGGCATCCAGGAGGCATCTAGATACACAAGCCACCTCAACTGTCTCTGCTCGACATGGAGGAGCAGTAGATCTACTCAGAGTTCCTCCTGGATGACTGAGCTTCTCACCCTATCTCTAAGGGGAGCCCAGACACCATGCGGAGAAAACTCATTTCGGCCGCTTGTATCCACGATCTCGTTCTTTCGGTCACTACCCAAAGCTCATTACCATCGGTGAGGGTAGGAACGTAGATCGACCGGTAAATCGAGAGCTTTGCCTTCTGGCTCCGCTCTCTCTTCACCACGACAGACTGGTACAGTGTACGCATCACTGTAGACGCAGCACCAATTCGCCTATCGATCTCACACTCCGACTTTCCCTCACTCGTGAACAAGACCCCGAGATACTTAAACTCCTCCACTTGAGGCAGGATCTCGTCCCTGACCTGGAGAAGACATTCAACCCTTTTCTGTTCACAGATTTAGAGGAGCTGGTTGTCATCCCTGCTTCACAGTCATCTGTGAACCGCTCCAATGAAAGCTGGAGATCACATTCTGATGAAGCCAACTGGACCACATCCTCTGGAAATCCTCAGGCCACCAAAACGAATCCCCTCAACACCTAGGGTGTGCCTAGAAATCCTGTCCATAAAAGTTATGAACAGAATCTGTGACAAAGGCAGCCTTGGTAGAATCCAACTCTCACTGGAGACGAGCTAAATATGTGATTGATGATTTAGTATTAAAACATTATGTGACTCAGTTAGTTGTCTTGATGCTGATGAGAAACAGGAAGTGGTTTAGGCAGGGCAGATTCTCACAGAGCAGGACACACAGATGGGAGGTGTAACTCTGACAGAGTTCTGCACACTCAGACAACTACCAGCTGAAGTTCTGGTAGGTGGGAGGAGTGAATGGTCTGTCTGCCAGAGAGTATCTGTGCAGCAGCAGCAGCAGCAACAGAGGGGAAGCTTAAAGCTGCTGAGTGGTTTGTCAGAACCAGGAGGAGGATCATCACCCCGCTTCTTCTGCTGCAGCTCCTGGTGAGTCTGATCAGTGGCAATCTGTCAGAGTACCAGATCCAGATGGAGTTCTGCTGCTGTTCTGGTTTAACATGTTGAGTTTTGTTGAATGTTTCTTTTTTCTTTTCTTCAGTAAGTGCTTTATGTTTGTCGCAAACTCAGAGCCACCATCACTGTGAACAGGTGCTTAACGGCTTTTGGCAGAATTAAAGGTTCTGAAACTGAACAGTTTGCGTCAGAACTCTGAAACCATTCCAGTATAAGAAAAAAGAAACCTAATCCATTCTGTTTGGTTTCTAATTCAGGAAGCTGATAGTTGAGTTTCAGGAACTTTTTTCTCAAACAGGAAATAGTCAAGAAAGAGTTGTTTCTGATCTCAGATCAGTTCTAAGCACTCGCTCTTTCTCTCTCTGTCACTCACTCACTCACTCACTCACTCACTCACTCACTCACTCACTCACACACACACACACACACACACACACACACACACACACACACACACACACACACACACACACACACACACACACACACACACACACACACACACACACACACACACACACACACACACACACACACACACACACACACACACACACACACACACAACACACTAACCGTCTGTGTCTGTCTAACACACTGAACCATAAGTCACTGGTTCTGTTGGGTTCTGAGGCAGACATGACCAGATCTGGTCCTTCACTAATCAGTTCTGATGCTTTTCTTTTTTTAATCTAAAGATTTTTCCCAGATTTGGATCTTGCTGAATTTAAGTTCTAGAGCGTTTGCTCTGAATCATGAAGGACCAGAACTTCAAAGATGAGGTTGCAAAGATTCTGGAGGAGGCTCCAAATGCCAGAAAAGCTCTGCGTGAGAACCACGAGAACCTGCTGAATGTGGCTGATTACTGCTACAACAACTACACACAGGTTGGTACGGTACGGACACAAGTCCAAACACCTGCAGAATGTTTTCTTTTTATAAAACAGAAGAAGGTTATGAGGACGCCACATGTCACAGACCCCAAGTTTACAGGAGCCACTATGATAAGAGCTGGGCTTCATGCCGCTTTGGTCAGAGTCCACCATAACAAGAAGAACTCTGAGGTCTCTAAGGTCTTGAGGGGGCCCTACACACCATCTAAGATACCATGCTTTTAGTTTTCTCCCAAATGTAACCAGATTATTGGAACTATATGAACCTGTTGACCTCTGACATCACATTGCTAAGGTCTCAGCTAGGCTAATGGTCATTTCCTGTGTTTGTGCTAAGCTGGGCTAACAGATCTCCTTTGTCGTCTACAGCCAGGAGGGAACAAGATCACGGCGTTGGAGGAAACTAAAAACTTTGCCACCCAATCACTAGCCAGTGTTGCTTATCAGATCAGCACCATGGCCAGTAGTGTCCTGGCTCTGCTTGATGCTCAGGCCAATCAGCTTTGCCAATTGGAGTCTTCCATCAATCTGATTGGCCAGGTGAGCCCACCTCCTTTATCAACACACATTAGTGTTTAATCAGGTCCCTTCTCCATCAGGAAAACTCTGAAACTAACTTTCCCCTAAAGAAAAGCATGTGTACAAATGTTACTGCTTAAAAAGTCATACTTTTTCCAACATCAAAAGTTAATATGTGAAATTTAAATGAGTTGATGTCACAAACTGTGGACATAGTGGACACATCTCTACAAAGTGGAGCTCATTCTGTTTTGGACTGCTTGAGCGTAGAATCAGGTTTAGGTTCGATGTAGAGCTGCCTGGAATGCTATTCAGAACCCTCACAAGGATCGTTCTAGTGTGTTTACGGGAGGGTTGGACTTAATGGATGAATGGAGGCTCTGTTTTCTGTGTTCTTTAGAGGAACTGCTGTGATTAGTTTAGCAAGGTTAATGACAGATTGTTTTTGACGTCCACGACGTGTAAAGTTTGACACTGATCCAGATACAACAGGGGTGTAAAGATTCAGCAGTGTGAGTTGAACCACTGACATGCATATGCACAATTTGTTTCTTGTGGCAGATTGATAAAGTTCTTGCAATTGTTCTTTCTGATCCTAAATGGTTGACTTTAACACACTCAGACATGGTACAGGGCAGTGTAGCAGAGTTCGATTCAACATCAGTGCGAAGGTTGCAGGTTTGAATCCCATGTTTTCCTTGTGCTGGTGAAGGGTCCCCCTGATGCTTTTGTATAATCTGACTGAAGGTGTGGATGCTTGTGGGTTTTGTAAAAGGGACTAGAAAACTAAAGCCATTGCACCCACCAGCTTGTGCTGGCGAGGAGGCCTCTAGTGTTTATCTTCATAGCTGTGAGGATAAACATCAGTGGAGAGTTTGAAGCAGAAGCTTCTATCTACAAAACATCAGTTTGACCCAAGCATCAGATTGCAGAAAACACACATCATCAGTGTGAGTGTGTTTGGTTCGATTCTGTTGGACTTGTGACCTGCCCAGGTAAGCCCCACCTCGTACCCAACACCCGCCTACAACTCACTCCCAACCATGAACAGTTTAAACAGAACATTTTTAACTTTGTTTTTCCACCTCAGACAGTGGAGATGCATAAGGAGAAAGTTTCTCGGAGGGAGATTGGTGTCTTCACGGCCATCAGACGAGTTCCTCGCAGTCATAAGATCATTCCTCCTACGGGGACACAGCCTCGCCCACCATACAGCCGTCAACCAGTAAGCTTCCATCAGCTGGATGGACTAGGCCATGGAATGAAGGTACCACCCTGTCGGGTTGTTTAACACACACACACATGCACACGCACACACACACACACACACACACACACACGTGCACACACACACACGCACACACATACACACACACACACACACACACACACACACACACGTGCACACGCACACACGCACACACACACACACACACACACGTGCACACGCACACACGCACACACACACACACACACACACATACACACTTACACTTTCAGCATCTTGTGCAAAGAAAACTTGGATGTGATGAGGGAAGCCAGGATCAAACACCAGCCTCCTAGGCCATCACCATCTTTACGGACTGAACCAAAGCTACAAACATCTGTATTTGATAACGCAGAACTGCTTGTTGAATCTAATAAGATCTGTTTTTAGTGAAGTTGTCATCTGTCCCTGATCTGCTCTGACAGAAATCATACAGTCCTACACAATGATCCATGCTCCTCTGCCTCATTTAGAGCCTTCAACTCCTCACCACGTTGACATGATTTTGGATCACATAGAGAAAAAAAAAATCCCACCTGCAGGACTACAAGCCTGAGCAGAGGAATATTTGGTAGCGCTGTTGCCTTTTTGCAATAAGGCCACAGGTTCAAATCCTGACCGTGGTCTTTCTGCATGCAACCAGCACATTCTCCCCATGAGAGTTTTCTCTGGTTTCCTGCAACAGATCACAAACATGCATGTTAGGATAAAAACTGTAAGTGGATAAAAGTCTTGAAGCATTAAAGGAGGTGAGTCAGTGGTAGAAGTTTTCTCATGTGGCTCAAGTCCACATTTATCAAGATGTACAAAGCAATTGTGCTTGGATCCAAGCATACGCACAGTTTGATGCACTTGGTTTTGTTTGTAAAACATTTTTTGATCTGAAGGCCTGCAGTCCTTTAAATCTATGCACACTTTTGGACACGAGGATCCAGGTGATCAGGTCAGGTCAGCAGAATCACAGAACAGAACTTGGACTAAAACCATCAGTGTTTGGACTCAGAAATGCAGAAGTGAAGCACAATGAGACGCTAACAGGAAGTAGCAGCTAATAGAAAGAAGCAGCTTCAGATGACCACAGAAGCAGAAATGATGCCACAGGAGCAGTTCCTTTTTCAAACCTCACGAACACGAATTCTCAGGACAGATTTACGACTTTCCTCCTAAGAGACATCAGAAACTCATCCAATGACAATTAAATCCTGCATAGAGCAGAACCAAGGTCCAAAATCCACTTGGTCCTTCATATATTCAGTCCAAGCAGACCGACTTCAAATGGCTGATTGGAGCTAAAATCCTGGTTCCTGTTAGCCTGGCGAGCCATCTTATTATAGTCTGGCCACAAGCCACTGAAACCGCCCTGTCGTGGGGCAGAATCTACAGTCAAACAGTCAAACAACGATGTAGTCCCCTCTAAAAATGTCAGTCAACAGGGTACTCCACCATAAACCGTCAAAGAAGATGCAAATACATCTTTTTTGAAAATAAAGGCCTCAAGTACTTCTATCTGCTCCTAACACAAAGAAAAGCCCATGTCTAAATAGTCCAAAGTTGGTGCCAAAGTCGTTTCAAATGTGTGCCCATCTTTGTAATTTTTCTCTGTCGCTGTGCTGGAATAAAGCCTACCTAATAAAAATAAATACGATTGGCCAAACACAAAACTGTTTAGGCCAATGGTCAACCTGCTGAGGCTACAATGGAGCGTGGCTAGTATGGGGCCATTTGTAAAGTCAGAGTAATCATTTAACAGCAGTAATTAGGGTTACTTAAGAGGAAAAAATGGGAGGTCATTTTTCAAAGTTGTTTTTTTCATGTTTTTTATACATTAAAGTTCCCAACTAAAAATGTAGTTAGGAAGCTAAATATTACATTTAGAGGTAAATATTTAATTTGCAAATTAAATATTTATTTCATACAATTATTTAGTTTGTAAAATAAATATTTACCTCCAAGTTTAATATTTCCTTGCTAAATATTTAGTTGGGAACTTTAATGTATAAATAACATGGTGAAAACATAACTTTGAAAAATGAACTCCCATTTTTTCTCTTACGATAGGCTAGATCGCCCAAAATATTGCTGTTAAAATATGACTTTGGCTTTACAAACGGCACCCCATAGGCCGCCGACTTGCAGAGCTAAATCGTGCTGCTGCCACGGTTGGTCTATATTTCTAGGCTAGGTTCCTGTCAGATTGACTTCTGTTTTTAGTGTTTAATACGTAACGAGCAGCTCATGCTGACAACCCTAAGAATCCACTCTGGTTCTGATCTGTGCTGAGACAACTCTGGCTCATCCCGGGTGGGTCAGGAGTTCTACTGATCCGAGGCCCAGGAGTTTTGTTATAGTAAAATAAAACTGGAGACTTTTCATTGGACAAGCTAACTCATTCAATATTTTACTACCTTTAAATGTGATTTTCCTTCAGGCACCTTTCAGGTGCTTGGTGGACCCTGTGTGTTTCTGGTTTCAGCTGTGAAATGTTTCCATTCGTTCTTTTTTACTTAATTTTTTTTTCACTCGCAGTTGCTGCTGTTTGTCTTTTGTTTCTGATCTGATTTGGCCTGTTCAGACTGAGAGCCAAAGAAAAACCTTCTGAAATGTTTTCCCACAAGATTACACACACACACACACACACACACACACACACACACACACACACACACACACACACACACACACACACACACACACACACACACACACACACGCCCTCTCCGTGAGCTGATGCTCTCTTTGTCTTGTCGTGGGAAAGTGTTTGGAGGGACTAATTAGAGCTGCTGAAGCCTCAGAGATTCCATTGATGCTGACCCGGTCTGTGCACCCCCAACCCCCCCCCCCCCCCCCCCCCCCCCCCCGCGCGCAGGTCTCTGGGAAAAAGTCTGACAAATCTGGAACGATCCGGAAACACGGAGCCTCCATCAGGTTTGTTCTGCTGCTGCTTAGCTTCTTCTTTCAGTCTGACAGGAAGTCTGCCTGTGGTTTCATGTATTTCTGTTTCAGGTCCAACAAAACTCCAGAGCCCATTCAGTGCCCGGTGGTGCCCCCTGCTGGAGGGTAAGAACCAGCTTCACTTACAGGAGCTGCTGTGTAATGAGGCGTGAATTCAGACAGCAGGTTCTCAGTTTAACATGCTTTTTTCTTTCAGATTTATTCATTAAAATAAATATTCATTATTTTGTCCTTTGATAAAAACTGAATGTTCTGCTCTGAGTTTTAATTTCACTAAGAAAAATACAAATTTTAAACCTACATTTTACAACACATGTCAAAACTGTCTCGTATTTATTATGATTAAAACTTTACACCAGACCAGAAAGTTAAACTTCATAATTATACTTGCAGTTTTAACTCTCAAGTGTCATCATCGATATCATAGTGGAGTCTTAAAGCTCTTCACTGATTTAAAGTCTGATTCTAAAAACTCCACATTTTAATGTACCCATTGTGAAAAATGAAAGTGTACAGTTGAGGGCATAGAAATGTTAACTTTCATCATGTGCTTCAGTTTATTTATAGTTTACAACACAAGTCATCTCAAAGTGCAGTGTGTGTTTGCAGTGCGTACAAATAAACGGCAACAAAACCAGGTTAAATGTATCTTCATGTCGCTTCATCAGCTAATCCGATAAAAGCATCACTTCAACATCCCCCTTAAAGTGTAGATGGTGGGAACGGGATAGAGGAGTCCATTTGACCAGTTTGAGCAGGGACTGAGTGGACAGGAAACGGAGACACACACAGAAGGACAGAGCCAGTTGCAGTGATAACAGTAAATACAAACATGGAGAGGAAATGTGGTCAATATGTCCTCCAGCAGTCAAAGCCTATAAGCAGCATAACTAAAGGGATGAGCCAGGTTAACGCACATTAATTCTAACTAAATTAATTAAGGATATTATGAATCATAGTTTTAAAGTGTCTGCCTCAGGGATAGAAGCTGGAAGCATCACTCCTAATACCTGAGTTTTAATGGATTTTTGTAAAAAAAAAAAAAGCATCTGTTTTATTTAAAAACAAATGTCTGTAAAGGTAAAGTTTTTTTTAAGTAAATTTGCTAAATGTGACTTTAGGTCAGGTTCACTGACAAAAGTAACAGAGCTGCCAACACACCTTTCCATCATTCTCGTTTTTTCCTCTCAGCTCCAGCTTTGGGAAACCAGTAGCTCCGCCCACAATCCCTACCAACTGGCAGGCTCCACCTGATTGTGACATCATCCCCACACTGCTGGATGATGTCCTGCCTCCTCCTTTACCAACAGATGATGCGTTGTCTCAGGGTGATGAAGCCAGCAACGCCTCTGTCCCGCCCCCTCCGCCTCCTCCAGTTTCATCTGGAGAGATGGTAGCTCCACCTCCATCTTCAGGTCCTGCCGTCGGGGCTCTGCCCCCTCCTCCTCCTCCTGGTTTAGCAGAAGTGGCGGCTCCACCCCCTCCACCTCCTCCTGGTTCACCAGGGGTGGAGGCTCTGCCCCCTCCACCTCCACCATCTTCAGAAGCTTTGTTCAGTCACTGTGCCCCACCTCCAGCTCCTCCTCCAATGTCTTTGCTCAGTCTGGAAACAGGTGAATTTATTTCAATTTGCTTTTTATTATTATCATGTTATTTCTTTGTTAAAGGTAGAATAAGTACAACTTTTACAGTGACACAATCACAAAACAGTTTAATGTCTTCATCGTGCTGGAAGAAGGTTACACTTAAACAGATTTCCTTCTCCGCCGGCTCGGGGTTGTAGTTTTTCTACTTTCAAAATGGCCAAAGAGGGATGCAGTTGTTTACAATCTGTGAGCCAGCGGGATTGCAGAGTCTGCACTAGCAAAAAGTACCAAAGTTGTTTAAAGGGTGAGTCAAAAACGTGCCTTAAGGAGGTGTCGCCTGGCGGACCGAAACACCGGCACATAGCAGTGATTAACAGCGCTCCACTCAGCCCCCATCCCCTGCACACTCTGGGTTTCTCATTCTCAGTCGGACAAACTAGTCATTAACACCATGTGTGTATGTATGTCTGCGCGCCCTCGCTCATGCACACAAGCGCACAGACATACATACACACACACTGATCAGACTCACCCCTCAGGAGAAGAGCCAGCTGGAGAACTTCATGTCCTCACTAGAAGAAAGGGGAGGAGGACATTTTTTAAGGATGCAAGCGACTCTGAGCCGTAACGTTTAAAACCAGCAGTGTAGTGCAGCCACGTAGTAGTGTACAGACAACGTCACCCTGCACCTCTTTAGCTATCAACTGTGGCTGATTCTACGTAAACCTGAGATGTAATTAACGTTTTGGGCTGAAATGTTTAAGTAAATTGCATTTCACTGCTAAAATAATCAATATACGTGTCGCTAAATCAGGTTCATGACTGGTCCAACTGTCCAACATCATAATATCTCTTGTTTTTCCTCAGTGGTAGAAGAGAGCAGCCTTTCTCCTCCCTCCCCCCTCCCTCCCCCACCTGATGATCACACTCAACTGCCACCCAACAATGGCTCAGACCTGCCAGCCCCACCCCCTCCACCCACCCAAGACGAAAACGGTACAATTTTTAAACAAAATGTTGCTGTGTTCAAACACGAATGTATTTCTCCATATTTTATTGTTGCACGTCTTCTTGGAAATGTTTCTAGTTGTCTTTAACTGAAGAAAATGTTTAACAAATGGTTATTAAGATAATTTCACTTCTGTTCATTCTGTTGATAAACATTTTATTCTGTACCTAACCAAAACCACCAGGGGGTGCTGACGAGCTTCGGTTTAAACTGCACAAGGATCCAACAGATTACTGTTATATTAAAGCCAGGTTACTGTCAGACTATAGTCAGGTTATGGCCAGGTTATTTTAGTTACAGAAAGGTTACAGTTAGGATGCTTTCAGAGTACACATCCAGGTTACTGTCAGGCTATTTTCAGATTATTGTCAGATTACAACCATGTTACAGTCGGGCGACTGTCCTAGTGTCCGATTACTGCCGGGTTACAGCTACGTTATTTTCAGATTATCTCTAGATTATGACCAGATGACTTTCCGATTACTGTCATGTTTCTGCCAGGTTTAAATGAAATTAGTTAGATTGTGAGGTCAGATTATTGAGATCAGGGATTTTTCTTGCCTGCACCTTTCTCTATTATCTTTTTATGTGATGTTTATTCAGGCTCCTCTTCTTGAGTTTTCTTTTCAGTGTTTGCTTCTTCTGTGGTGTTTTTTAGTGATCCCTCTATCCAGGAGGATTCGCCGGTACCGTTCACCTCCCACCTCTCACTCTCTTTCTCTGAGGGTCCGGTCAGGCCCCGCCTCCCGCTATTTCCACACTCGCTCTCTTATCTTACCTGCTGTGCAATCATGTAAGCTGCTGCACGATACCCTCATCTAACAGAAATCCAGCAAAGATAATCAGCTGAAAACTGTTCACTGATCAGCCTCAGGATAGCTGGTTCTTCAAGAACCTTGTTAGAATATTTGCTGAAGTCATCGGGAAGGTCTTTGGGGTCTTTAAAGGCACAGTTGAATATTTTTACTTGTTTACTGTCAAATTCTGAGTATCAGTCCACAAACTTGTCCTGTTTGATTATTATCTCTCACCAACATTTATTTTAAGTATACTTTTCAGTTTGAAATGTCACATTTTTATGTACATAAGCTGTGTTTGACCCTCCATAGTCATGCATCGTTAGTAGCTGTTTGGGGACATACAGGAAAAACGCTCCACATTTCGTGTTTGTGCTTTCACGTGATGAAACCTGAAAGCTCTCCTCCTCCTCCCTCTAAAGGTAGTTTTCCACGAGCACTACTCAGAGTAACTCGGACTGGTGCAGCTCAACCCGATCACAGTTTCCAAGAGCGAGGTTCGATATTTTTTCCTTTAAGGGACCGCTAGATCCTTGAGAGGATTTCAGAACTCGCCGTGACTCCATGGTTAAATGTCTGATGACAAAGTGAACATTCAGATGTTTTAGGAGAGTTCATCACTTCTGGAGTTCTGATTGTCTGTGAGGACAGATTATTACCACTTCTCATTTCCTGAGTCCTAATACAGCTTCTCTCTGTCAGCCATGATACCCCCTCCTCCTCCATACCCTCCCCCCTGTGCACCCAAGAACACCCTCAACTCTTCCTCCCTTTCTCTCTCCTCTTCCTCACCTTGGCTCTGCTTACCTGCTCGTCTTCAGCACCTGGGTAAGAAAACTATGTGGTAGTACCATCTGTAGACTCATGTAGAAGTCAAAGTCACATAAACAGTAGTACAACAGTAGTACAACAGTAGTACAACAGTACAGTAGTACGTGCCTCCACAGATCAGACTGGTTAACTAGCTCCCAGTCACAACACCTGTGTCCTCTTAGATCTGGAGATTCCAGCTCCACCCCCTCCTCACCTTTTAAATTATGAAGGGGGATTTGATGACATCTTGCCACCACTTCCTCCTCCAGTGGACTATGATAGCAATGCACCCCGGGAGTACCTGGAGAAAGGTAGAGCTGCCCCTACAGAACTGCAGTGGAACAAACATGACAGCGTGGTTTATGGCTGCCCTTTCTGTTTTTGTCCAGTGGTTGCTTTGTACAGCTACGAGGCATCTAATAAGCCTGATGACCTGACCCTCACTGAGGGTGACATCATCTACCTAACGTGTCGTCATGGCAACGGCTGGTGTGAAGGGGTCTCAAAAGGCAAGAAGGGCTTCTTCCCTGAGAATTATGTACAACCTCACAACTAAACGAACTCTTGGGAGTTACTGTGGACATGATTGTTTTATTTGTTTGTTTCATGGTAATGTTGATCATCGGCAGTGGCTGTCTAATAAATTAATAGAATTAGATAAACTTGATTTCAGATGGATGCTGAAAGGTCTTTCAGATCGCCACATACACATCTGTACAACCTCAAATAATCTGAATAAAGTTCGTTTCAGCAATAAAGGCTGTTACTTTTGTTATTTTGTTCTCAGGACTGCAGATGTTGCTTCATCCTCTTTTGTTTATCACCAGATCTAGATCTTTGTTCTTGTCTAACGTATTGTCGACCTTGAGATTCCTATAAAGACCAAGTTCAAAAAGAAACCAATTTTACTTGTTATTTTTGAATAACGATTGGTCGCTCTGAGTTTTTCATGCAGGACTGAATATGAAAACGGTCTTTTACCCATATTTCCTGCAAAGTAGCTTCCTGGAGTTTTCCCCTTTCGGAAATTATGGATGATTTTTTTGAAATCCGGAAAAGTGATTATCTCATCATGTACTGTGATACAATGTAAGCAATAAGCCATTCTTTTTTATTTATTTATTTGCTAAGCACAGCCCCCTGCCCTGCGGAGCTCTGTGCAATAGGAAACTGACCAGAACTAACAAATAACATTAGACTACCACTTATGTGCTTAAATTTTAAGGAATACCCCGGCTGGAACAGAGTTGATGAACTTTTCACTGACAAGTAAGTCTTTAAAATGTAAATATATGAAAACACAACATGACATGACAATAATACTTGTAAAACAACATGTTTTAGCTCTGTTTGTCAGCTGCAGAAGCACATTTATAAACAAGAAATGTGAAGTCGCCATCTTAAAAAATGGAGCGAGAGACTATTTGTGTAATATGCTTGTTCAGTCACTAGGTGGTGCCATCGGATAAGAGCAATATTCCAGAAAGACTGCATATACAGTAGATGGAACACAGATGGGGAAACGCTTGGGTCAGAAAAAGCCACACAGATCTATGTCACACTTTAAATTAGCATTCATGGACTTGCCCATCTTGGCTCGTGTTGAGTACTGAACCACTCGGTGACAGTAGAGTGCTTGACTGTAATGTAGGTCACCATGGTAACAACCAGGCCCAGATCGCTGGGGGTACCACATAACTGATTCTACACCATGTGGTTCATTTATCACCCCATAACCTTTTTTTTATATTTCCAAAGAAACAAAAAAATAAAAAATAGAAGTAAAACAAATTGTTGCCAGTCAGATGACTTTATTGTATCAAATGCAAAAAGTATAAAAATATTCATAAACAGTCAAATAAATAAATAAATAAACAACTCATAAATACAACAAATAAATACACGCATCAACCTATTTAGGTCCAGATGATCGGTTAGCATTTCCAAGTTCTGTCATAGTGTCACCCTATAGAACGTTGGAGTTTGTTCCCTAGAATATCCAAACTGACCAGGTGATGTTTGGTCTTCTTTCTGAGCAGCTCCCAGAATGCACTGCGTCCATCCTGTATTCACAATATCTCAGTCAGTGCTTCAATCAACAATGAATCATTAATGAACAATGAACCAGTAATTGATCGACATCATAGATAAGTGGTTATTTACTCACAGAGCAGCTCTGAATTGTGTTCTTTAATTTTCTGTAGTAACGTGTCAGTGTTTTGTTTGATTGCTGCTTCAGTTTGATCTGAAAAGAAACAAACCAAAACATGTATTAGTGTATTTGTTGCACTAATGCATCAACATGAAGCCAAAGCATGAAGCTGAAGGAACGTTGGGACCTTCGTTTCCTCCAGGATCCTGGAAGTATCTCCTGGTTTGTCTGAGTCTGAGCGTAAACACACAGCCAGCTGGTGCAGCAAAGTTTAACCCTCCCACTGCCTTCATGGGTGACCCCGCCAGGAAAGTTGACCACTGAGGAGGATTGATGGTTTATCCCTTGGGTCCACGTGGCAGGGGTGAGGAGTGAGCACCACCTCATCCCTGCCACGTGGACCTCAAGGGATAAACCATCAATCCTGCTCAATAGTCAACTATCCTGGCGGGGTCACCCATGAAGACAGTGGGAGGGTTAAAGAAGCTAAAGAAGAAAATATTTACTCACACAGCTGTTCAGTTCATAGATCTGCCTGTTGATGCTCTCCAAAAAGAGCATGGTTTTCACTGGGTCCCAGGAAGTTGAAGACAAGTTGTCATAGCGATAGAGATGAAAAATTTCCTTCAGACTGTCCCTGATGAACCCGAGCTGGGACTCCACCTGCAGAGACACACAGGTTAACACTGATAAAGGACTGATCGGCTGAAAGACCAACCGGCTCATTTACTGACTGATTGGATGATTGATCTATTAATTACCTCTCTTTTCTCCACTCTCTTGTACATTTTGTATGGAAAGAGAACCAGACAGTCCTGCTTCGTAAACTCACCGCCCTGAAACACAAAAAGACATTTCCATATTTTATCAAATCAAAGTCACTCTACGCTGATTTATTATTATTATTATATTTAACGTGTTAATCTGTCAGGTGGTGTAACCTCAGGCTGTAACATCTAGTTGGTAAAACTGTTGCCTCACAGCAAGAAGGCTGCAGACCAATACCTGGCTGTGGCCATTTAGAGTGGAGAAGCAAGTTCTTGTCATGTATGTTTGGTTTCCTTCCACAGGCCAAAAGCATGCATGCTTGGTTTATTGGTGACTCAAATGGTCTCTGGGTGTGAGGATGTAAATAGTTGTTGGACTGGACTGTCCTTGTGTGTCCCTGTGAAGGACTGGTGGCCTGTACACCACCTGTATCGCCTGATTACTGCTGGGGACCGGTAGCAGCTGTGACCACCGTGTAGTTTACCATCAGCAGCAAAATATGAATGTGTGAGTGAATGAATAATGGATTTTCTCAAAAGTAATTTGGGTTCCTTGAAAAAGGCTCCATATAATCTAATCCTGCTTTGTGAACTCTAAATCTGAGACCATGGTCTTCAGTCAGAAAAGGGTAGAATGCCTTCTTCAGGTCAGAGATGAGGTCCTGCCCCCAAGTGGAGGAGTTTAAGTATCTCAAGGTCTTGTTCAAGAGTGAGGGAACGCTGGAGCGTGAGATCAATAGGTGGATTCGTGCTGCGTCTGCAGTGTTGCGGTCGTTGTACTGGTCTGTGGTGGTGAAGAGAGAGCTGAACCAGAAGGCAAAGCTCTCAATTTACTGGTCGATCTACATTCCTACCCTCACCTATGGTCACGGGCTTCGGGTAGGGACCGAAAGAACGAGATCACGGATACAAGCGGCCGAAATGAGTTTTCTCCACTGGGTGGCTGGGCTCTCCCTTAGAGATAGGGTGAGAAGCTTGGTCATCCGGGAGGGGCTCAAAGTAGACCTGCTGCTCCTCCACATCGAGCCAGTTGAGGTGCTTCCTGGACGCCTCCCAGGTGAAGTTTTCCAACAGGGAGAAGAGCTAGAGGAAAACCCAGGCCACACTGGAGGGACTATGTCTCTCTACTGGCCAGAAAATGCCTTGTTTCCACGGAGGAGCTGGCCAAAGTGGCTGCGGAGAGGGAAGTCTGGGTCTCTGCCCCCATGACCTGACCCCGGATAAGCGGCCGAAAATGAATGAAAGGATGGATAATCTAATCCAGGGTTTCTCACCCCTGGTCCTCAGCGCTCCCCTGTCCTGCATGTTTTCAATGTCTCTGCTTCAAGCACACCTGATTTACATTTTTAAATCGCCTCCTCAGGAGGACACCAAGTGCTGCACATGTCTGATAATCAATCATTAATTTAAGCCAGGTGTGTGGCAGTAGAGAAACACTAGTGTTTGAAAGGGCAACAGACCCATTATTATTACGGTATTATTATTAATATTATTGGAGTAAGTTATCCACAGTCCTTATGGGAAGGGGTTGACCACGACCTTCTTCCACTCGATGGTGACGTCATCGCCCCAAAATAAAACTATTGCTATCTCAAAAATCACAGCAGCACAAATGACCGTTTTAACGGCACAAATGAGCACAAACATAGCACTAAAAATGTTGACTGGTCCTGTTCCTTTTGGACACACCTGGGGGGGAGATGACCCCTGGATGACCTATAAAAATAATGTTGAATATTTCAAAAACCATAGCATCACAAACAACTATTTTAACGGCACAATCAGCACAAATGTAACACTAACCACTCCACCTATTTGCGTGTATTTCTGATGTGGGTGGGTTCCCCTGCTTGATCCACGTGAATCATGGTCCTGCTGTGATCAAGTCAAATTCCAGATCAGAACCTGCCTTATATGCTGTGGTGGGACTAGAAGTCCTCCAGAACATCATACGATCCTGATCAGATCAAACTTAGAATTACTTCTCCTTAAGGAGGGTCTGTAGACAAGCTGGTGGAATGAGTTCTTCACGGTTTCTGAATGGATCCCACCCCTCACCCCTGTACTCACCATGACCTCGATAAGCACCATTGTTGTGTTTCTCAGTTTGCTGTTGTCCGTCAGCCAATTGCAGCAGAGACCAGAGGTCAGCATGCAAATGATGAAGATTAGACTTGTGCTGATGACCATGATAAAGGCAATGAGGATGCTGAGGAGCATCAGTGCAGGATGCCATTCTGCTGGTTGGATTGGAGGAGCTCATTTTATCCAGACAGACAGAAAAAGAAAACAGTAGACAGTAAAAAGCCCCTCTCATTTCTATTTCCCTCCTAGTTATCACTCTCCCTCTCTCACAGAGGAGCTGAGATCTGATTACACATACATGTCATTTGGGGGCAGACTGAGACTTGTTGAAGCAGAAAATCTATTTTATTAGAATCTACTTTTCACTTCTATTCCCTGTTTTATCTCAGATTTTTCTGCAGTTACGTAATAAAATCAGAACTAACTGATCCGTGATCAGCCTGGAAGCTGCAGCTGCTTTCCCTTTCACTTTTCTTTGGTCTCTGGAAGTTCCTCTTTTTCACTTTTGAAATACCGGAGGAAGTGACTCATCTTTACTTGGCCCTTCACAATAAAAGCAGCTCCTTCTAAAGTTTGAAAAAGAAAATGGGTTGCAAAAAAATAAAATCAAATCAAACAAAAGCACACACAAAAACAGCAAGACTAAAAAGCCCCTAGAGAGAAAAATCCAAACTCTCTGGTGGTTTTAAATGTTTCTGTTTAATTTTGAAACTCTTATTTTGAAGTCTTCAGTATTTTCCTTTTTGTTGTCTGATTACACATATTTTGGTTTCATATCCCCTCCCTCACTTTCAGGTTGTCATGGAAACTTTAAACATGACCCAACTGATTTAAGACAAAAGCCACAGCCTGATTTCATCACAGCTGGAACAAATTCAAGGGTCACAGAAAAAATCCAGACCTGGAAGACCTGAAGCACTTAAAAAGAAAATGCAAAGTTTTTAAAGAGCCCAGGAATCAGTTCACATGTTCCTAAGGCGCTCTGATCGTAAATGTTTCACTAACCAAGCCACATAATTTTGCTAAACCTCTACAGGACTCGTGTTTTAAAGAGTATGGGTCTCTAAACAACCCCATGAACTCTTGATAATCTGAGCTCATCAAATGGGCTGCATGGTGGCGCAGTGGTTAGCACTGTTGCCTCGCAGCACGAAGGTTGCAGGTTCGAAACTCTGTTGCGGCCTTTCTGCGTGGAGTTGCGTGTTCTCCCCAAGCATGCGTGGGTTTCCTTCGGGTACTCCGGTTTCCCCCACAGATCACAACATGCCCTATAGGTTAGAAATTGTAAGTCGCTTTGGATAAAAGCGTCTGCTAAATGAATAAATAAGCATAAACATAAATGACTGACAGTACCTGGAAGTTTAAAAGCATGGCCTTTTGAAAAGGGCATAACTTAACATCTGTAAGAACTCACTGTAGGATTTACACACTCAGGTCCTTTAAGGGAGTCCCGTTTAACTCTGAAGAAGGTTGAGGTCCGATGTGGTCTTCATCAGTGTTACAACGACCCTCTCCTGGAGGTTTCTTGCGGGAAACAGTCTGTGCACCTCACATCAGGGAACTCCACTGAACTTCAAGCAAACTAACACAGTTGAACACAGAGGCACTGACTTTGTTCTTTCCTGCTCAGTTTGGAGAACTCCTCTACCTCATGAGGGGACAGATGGTTATACTGAGATTTTGAACACACACACACAAAGCCCTTTAGTTTCCATGCTTAACGTTGTGGCCAGGAACTGCAACACCTACCGGACAGACAGTAATCCCGCTGAGAGTGTGTAACTCCCTTTTTCACCCATCATACTCCTCTTGTCCAAGGCTCCAAGGTCAAAAACAACATTGAATTGAAACCCGTTGAACTCTTTTGACCTTGTGAGTAAAGGGCCGTTAGAATACACACCAGGATCCATAACCCTTCTACCACAAAGCTAAACTTGATATGATTAAGATGACTTCCTGATCTGAGATTTAGTAGACAGACAGGTGAGTTCACGGTCTACCTGCCTGTGTGTGTATGTGTGTGTGCGCGCGCACATGTGCTCAGATGGCTTGCACAGTGCGGGAACTCTGAAACAAGTTAAACTAAAATGTCATCCACTGTAGCGCAACGTCCCAAAACCTGATCCAGCAGAACCATGTGGGTCCAGTTCTAAACACAGCAGTGTTCAAACGTGCTCTTAAACTAATGCCTTAAGTCCATAAATCCGTCGGAGGATGTTAACAGGTTAGAGGCGTTTGAGTTAAGAGGGTGGAGTTCTATTCATTTAAAACAGATTTTAAATATGTTTTGTGAATTATGTAATAATAATAATAATTATTATTATTATTGTTATTATTATTATTGTTGTTATTGTTGTTGTAGTGGCGGTTCCTTCAAATTTTCCAACTTTAAAAGCCCCTGCTGCACTGTGGTAACGTTTCATACGCAGGCAGAAGAAGTTCAATGTCCAAACTTAAAAGCTGCATTTTCTTCAAGGTTTATTTTCCAGGTTGGCAAGCAATAAAACACAGATCCTGTTTTCCATTGTTTCCTGCTGCTTCTCCTGCTCTGGTAAAAAACCATACGCCCAGCCCAGTGCATGCTGGTCCTATACCAGTGCCTACTTATACAAAATGACCCGGTGATTTTTCCTGACTGACTTACAAAGGTAAACAACAAAGTGAACTACTACAAATAAACTTTATAAATGCTTCAAAAAATATAAAGTGAATTAATCACAAATTTAAAGAAAATACACTAAAATAACACAAATAAAGTATAAATAGCTGTTGGCAAAAGGAGATCTGAGGCACTCAGGTGATACAAAATAAAAAGCCTTTATTAGTGCATGGCTTAAATAGTTAACAACATAAATGCCGACGCGTTTCAGCCCACAGGGCCTTCGTCAGGTCTCAAAATGTTTGTACTGTAGGTTCTCTCACTTTCATGTTAAGGCTAATCAGTGACACCTGCTGAAGTTGGGCGGGTAGACACCATCTCCACTGGATGGTTCAGTTGGCAACAGCATCCTCCTTGCCACAGGAGCTGGGAAAAAAGGCATCATTGACAAAGAAAATTACAATGTGCACTGCACCCCACAAACTTATGTCGAAAAAAAAAGATTAAAAAAAAGTTCTACTAATACAATATCTGTTCCAAACTTACCCCTCTTTCTCTCAGGGGCACATGGACCTGCAAGCAAACAAATATGCTGTTTTACTATATTGTAAAAGGCAACATATTTATTAGAAACTTCAGAATATTACCGTATTCATCATCGGAACTTGATACCGCTTGTTGTTCTTAACTTTTCGTTTAGTGCCTTCCCTCTCACTTTCAAACTGTGAGTCCTCCAGGTACTGCCTGGCATAATATTTCTCTTCTTCATATTCCTCTTAAGAAAAACATGGAGAACAGTCAAATAAGCATTAAGCAAATAAGCAACATTAACAATACATTTTAATGTTATGGCCAAGTTGATGTTGTGGTACCTGTTTGGCGTAGAGAAATTCTGGACCATGTATCCATCTTCCACCTTTAAGGAAGTCCTCCGCTCTCAGGCCTCTGGATCCGTCATCTGCAGGGTTTTCCTTGGAGGAAATGTATCTCCATTGATTCCCATCTGTTGTTTCTCTAATAACAGAAATTCTGTTTGCAACAAAGGTGTTAAATCTTCTGGTTTCATTGGTGATGTACTTCAGTACAGTGGTACTATCAGTCCAGAAAACAGATTTCTCCAACTTTATTTCCAGCTCCTTTTGCAGCTATTTGTTTACTCGGGCTGCAAGGACTGCAGCAGTCAACTCCAGCCTGGGGATTGTAGTTTGCTTCAGAGGAGCAACTCTAGCTTTTCCCAGAATAAAGGCCACATGTGTGATGTTATCCTTTTCCAGTCTTAAATAGGACACTGTTCCATTGACTTGCATCTGAAAAATGATGAAGTTGAGCTTTGTCTGGTTATCCAATGGAACTTGGTTTGATGCAACGTTCCACTTCGAATGTTGAAATCAGCTGAAGGTCCTCCAGCCAATTACGCCATCGCTTGGAGAGAAAGTGGGGAATAGCTTCATCCCACTTCAAATTCTGTTGAAAAGGTTCTTGAAACAACAGCTTAGCTGGCATAATGAAGGGAGCCAAGACTCTCAACGGATCGTATAGAGAGCCAACCACAGACAAAATGCTTCTTCTGGTTTGTGGACGATCCTGCACAGAGGTTCTGAACGTGAACTGATCGGTTTCTGTGCACCACTGTAAGCCTAGTGCTCTCTCAACTGGAAGTTGATTGTTGTCCAAGTCCAGATTCTCAACTTCAGTTGCTTTTCTTTCCTCTGGGATTGACGTGAGCACAGTGCGACTGTTGCTGATCCATTTGGAAAGATGGAATCCTCCTTTAATGCAAATATCAGTCAGTTGCTTCACTATCTGCATTGTATCTTCCTCTGAAGCAACAGATTTTAAACAGTCATCCACATAAACATTCCTTTTGACTGTTTTTACCGCTTCAGCTGGAGACTGCTGTGCATTGTCATCTGCAGTCCTCTGCAGTGCATAGTTTGCACAGCTGGGTGAAGATACTGCTCCAAACAGGTGCACCTTCATCCTCCTGTGCAGGCTCTGCAGTGTCACCTTGAGGCCACCAGAGGAATCTTAGAAAGTCAACATGCTTTTCTGAGACATATTCTTGGTAAAACATAGCATTTATGTCAAGCCTAAATCGAAGGAGAACCCCCACCAATGAGTTTGTGAGGTCAGGCCCCTGTAGAAGTTGACTGTTCAATGACTTGAACAATGAATCCTTCGTAGGTTGTTCCGCAGTCAAATAGAACTCTCAGCTCGCCTTTTGTGGGATGGTACACTCCATGATGAGGAATGTACCACACATTTCCATCACTTTTCTGCAGCTCATCTGCTGACACAGCTTCAGCATGTCCCTTTTCTAGAATGGTCTTCACACATGCAGCGTATTCCTTCATGCAGACAGCATCCTTTTTGAATCTCCTTTTTAGGCTCTGAAGACGCTGATGTGCAACACAGAAGTTATTTGGCAAGTTAGGACCTTTTTTCTTGAAAGGTAAATCCATGTGATAATGATTTCCAATCAGCTTTATTGAGCTACTAACAATGTCCATGAAACACAGATCTTCTCTGGACATTTCAGTCTGCTACTCTGAGGATCATTCATTAAAATCATGATTGTATTGCTGAACCAACATTTCTTTAAGATGTTCCACACAGATCATATTGGCTGTTGCAATAGTGCACTCATTTTTGTTTCTGCTGTTAACTCCAATGCGCAAAAGACCATTTATGACCCAACCAACTTTGGTCTTTACAGCATAAGGTCCACCATCCACACTGTTGATCAGCTCCCATGGCTCTAGAACATTTGAAGCATCAGTTCCAATCAGTAGCTCCACATCTGCATCAATGTGATGGAGCCTGACATGTTTCAGATGAGGCCACTGATCAATATCTTCCTGTTTGGGAATATTCAAACTGGCATGGACTTTTGAGTCAAAACATCAATCAACTCCTTTACCTCCAATCCAGACACTTCCAAACCAGATACAACTTGTGCGTTAACAATTTTATTTTGACTCATTGTTCTCAGCAGAATTTTTGTCCTTTTACCTTGTACATTCAGTCTTTTTGCCAGAGTTTCTGTACAACATGTACCTGAACTTCCAGGATCCAGAAATGCATACACTTGTACAATTTTCTTGCTCTTTTGACTTTTAACTTGAACTGCAACAACAGAAAAAACTGCATCATCGTCATGACCAGCCCCAATATGCCCACATGTCTGAGTAGTTGCAGTTGAGAAGTTGACATGAGACTTTGTTGTCTGGTGGGTTGGTTGTAAGGATGCATCTGGTTCCCTTCCCTCAATATGAAGAACCTCTGGGTGCTTTTGATGACACACATTGTAATCCAAACGACTCCTACAGTCTTTGCTAGTGTGACCAACCTTTAAACAACCAAAACAAATCCCCTTTTCCTTGATGAATGTCAACTTGTCTTGATGCATCTTAGCTTTGAACAGCATACAGTTCTCCAATAAGTGATTACTTTTTGAACAGAACAAACAGCTGTGGAGACCACTGGATCTGGTCCAGTTTTCAGTTTAACTCCTGGAACTGTGCTGACATTGGTAGCAAAACTGCTTCCTTTTTTCTTTTGCTTTATAGCACCTGGAACTTTAGAGTTGCTGCCAGGTTGTGAGTCTTGAATGTGGCCAAACACTGGATCTGATGCTACCTTCACTTGTTTTATCATAAAAGCAACCAGATCAGTGAACACTGCTCTGTGTCCATTTTGTTCTTGCAGCTCGTAGGCAACCACTCTCCATTTTTCTCTCGACTTGTATGAAAGTTTCATTACAATCATTCTCATATTTGAAGGCAAATCCAACTCCTGCATGTAGAACAATTGCTCTGTTCGATTTGAACATCCTTGAAGAAATAGAGAGAATGATTGAAGGCCTTTCACATCCTCACTTTTATTTAGTGGCCAACTCATCATCTTCTCCATGTATGCAGAGGTGATTTTACTTTCATTTCCAAAATGTTCTTCAAGAAGATATTTAGCTCTGGAATAGCCTTGTTCAGGAGGCAAATGCTGACAGCTATGAACCAAGTCTTTAGACTGCCCCCTAGTAAACTGCTCTAGAAAGTGCAAGCAGTCGCTCCAGCTGTCAGTTTTAGCCTCCACTCCGTTTTCAAAGGCGTTTATAAAAGATCTGTACTGTAATGGGTCTCCATCAAACACAGGGATATTTCTGGCGGGGAGGACAGAAAATACATTTTGCTTCACAAGTAAGGCAGTGATATCATTTTGTTTCTGCATTATGTTCACAATATCCTTCTGACAGTCTTCGGCCAAAGGTGAACATTGACGCAAAGTTTGCTGCGTTGCTTGAGCCGGAGCATCAACCTTTTTCATTTTTAGTTCCACTTGAGGTTGATGTTGTCTTTGTTTGGGTCGGACAACCTGTGGTTCAGAAGCAGGATTTAGAACAGAATGATCTTGTTCTTTTGGAGTAAACGTGTCTGCATTAGGATTTAGCTGAGTCGGCTTCTGTACGTGGCCTCCTTCAAAATAAGAGTTCATTCCATCCGATCATTTTGAACCGCAAACTGAGTTTGTTTCCAAACTGTGAAGCTTTGCATTGGTTGCTGCCAACTCTGTTTCCAAAGCTAATTTCTCCTTATCCTTTCTCAGCCTTTCCTCTTGATCTTCAATCAAATGTTTTTTCTTCAACGCAGCTACTCGCTCTTTGAGTGCTGCCTGATCAGCTGCAGCCTTGATGCGTGCAGAAGACGTTGATGATATTCGGGATTGAGAAGAGGCTTTTGATCAAAGTTTTACACTTGAAATATTGGAGACACTATCTTCAGGGTTTATTTCATCTGGATTTTCAGCAACTTGATTATCAGAAACATCTCTGTTTTGTTCTGTGAAGGGATTGCCTGCTTCCTGCAACCAAACCTTTACTGTGTGCTTAAATTCAGAGAACACCTTCACCTTGGGGTTAAAGTACACAGCTTGTCTTTTCAGTTCCTCTTCTGGCAATGGCAAACTTAAAAATGATTCACGCACATCCGCGTCATCTTGATAGCATTTAATAAATTTGGCAAAATCAGAAGACCCTTCATCAACATTTTCATGTGACATCATTAAAGTGGATATTTTCTCCATGTACTTTGAGCTTTGTTTACACAATGAACTCCGCTTTTCTTGGCATGTTTTAATGTAAAGCTACAAACCCTTTGGTGTAAATTTAATGTTTCTTTTCTCTTTCAGCATTTGAGTGCCATCCTCTTGTTTACTTTTGACATCAGCCATTTTAGCAGTTTTATTAATTATTTCTGAGACTTAAAGCTGCACAGAACTCTGAGAATCCTTAGCATAAAGCACAGATGCTTTTCTTTGTTTAGGATTGTAGGCTGCAGCAAGCAAACATTTCCACAATGGGCTTTGTCACCTTTCAAACATCCAGTTATGCATCAGCTTGGCACATCATCAGTCTTTTTTGCAGTAAAATATTGTCTTCAACCTTCTTTTACCATTTTCCTTTACGGTTTAAACAACATTTTTCACTCACCAGCTTTGATGAGTCAGTGACACGATGACCCGGGCCTGAAGCAGGAAGTCTAATTGAATTCCTCAAAAAGGACCAGATCCAACCTTTTGTTTGAGGACAGTCCTCAAGATCCACCTTTCCAACATGCCCATCAGGGAAGAAACATTCCTTCTGTTCCAAGGGCTAGGTTTTTTACTTGATGTAGTGGCTGCACTGTGGTAACGTTTCGTACGCAGGCAGAAGAAGTTCACTGTCCAAACTTAAAAGCTGCATTTTCTTCAAGGTTTATTTTCCAGGTTGGCAAGCAATAAAACACAGATCCTGTTTTCCATTGTTTCCTGCTGCTTCTCCTGCTCTGGTAAAAAAAACCATACGCCCACCCCAGTGCATGCTGGTCCTATACCAGTGCCTACTTATACAAAATGACACGGTGATTTTTCCTGACTGACTTACAAAGGTAAACAACAAAGCAAACTACAAAAATAAACAACTATTAATCTACAAATAAACTTTATAAATGCTTCAAAAATATAAAGTGAATTAATCACAAATTTAAAGAAAATACACAAAAATAACACAAAAAAAGTATAAATAACTGCAACAGTTGTCGTTGCTATTTATTTATTTTTTGTGAAGCACCTGGTGATTTTTATCTTGAGAAGCGCTATATAAAAGCTGGTTTTCTTCTCTTTCTTTCTTTTTCTTTCTTTTTTTCTTTTTTTCTTTCTTTCTTTCTTTCTTTCTTTCTTTCTTTCTTTCTTTCTTTCTTTCTTTATTTCTACCAGTGGAGGTCAGGAGGTCATTAGTGGATGTTTATTGGGTCTGACCCAGAATGACCACCTAAAATTGCTAACACTAGCATACAAAGTCCGAGATGGTACGGCTCCCTTCTACCTGAATCCTCTTGCAAAGGCTTACGTCTCGGCCCGGCCGCTCCGGTCATCACAAGATCGTCGGCTAGCAGTGCCTACACCACGCTCAGGACAATCCAGACTCTTCTCATGCATCATTCCACAAATGTGGAATGACCTTCCAAGCACTACCAGAACAGGAGCTTCCTTTTCAATTTTCAAGAAGCTCCTGAAGACCCTGCTCTTCAGAGAGCAGCTTCTAAACTAGCACCTTGCCTGCACCCGTCCCCCCTCTCTACTGTCCACTCCTTGTTCCCTCCTCTCCATGATTGATTTCAAGTTGTTGTTGTTAGCCTCAAGGGCAACATGCCGATTATCACTTGTAAGTCGCTTTGGACAAAAGCGTCTGCTAAATACATAAAATCCAGTATTTTTTCTCCAGGAATTTGGCAAACTGGTTGCATCAGTTCATGATTAACGATAACGATAGACTTTAAAATTAGTTAAATAGTCATAAACTGATTACAAAGGCTGTTTTCAAACAACCTGATTCATGTTTCATCCAGTGAAGTCAGACAAGAAGCAGGTTGTCAGTGTGGCCTTTGACCTGCTTCATTTAAACATTGTCTGTCAAAAAAAGTTTCAAACTCAGATTACAAATGCTGATAAGCTCTAAAGTTTGTCCTGACCCGTGGTTCTGATACTTAGAGACTCAAATATTTGGAAATGTCTTCATAAATTCAATTTAAAATATATATCTTGTTCACAGGAGCACTATGTAAATGTCCCGACAATAATCAATAATCCGTTTTTAGTCTCATAATGTGAAGGAGGAAGTTTAATCCATGCGTCTGTCATCCTCACAGTAGCATGCTTTGAATCTGATTTGGTACTCACAGGCCTCCATACAATTGCTTCTTACCTGAAACTCCACCCCTCCCTCTGTTTACGGACCGCTGCTTCTTCAATAACCCGTTCTTCCTGGTTCTCCGTTCTCTAACTGCCACGCCTCATAACCTCCACGCCAAATATCTAGGAGACCGGTCAATGTAAACATCCATCAGCGTGAACCAGCCTCTAAACCCCGAGAGAGCCGGAGCAGAACCAGTTCCAGGACCAGAAAACAACTGAAACAAAGACCGAAACAAGAACGAGGACAAGTGAATTTAAAGTGACTTCCCACTAAAACCAATCTTCTGGCTCCGTTAGATCTGGGTTCAGTATCAGGAGTTTTTCTGCAGATCAGAACAAACCCGTTTGGACCGAGAGGTGGTTCCGACAAAGATGAACAAACTTGTGCCGATAACCCTGTTGGTCGTCATTCTGCTGGGGTGAGTTCTGTGTGTGTGTGTGTGTGTGTGTGTGTGTGTGTGTGTGTGTGTGTGTGTGTGTGTGTGTGTGTGTGTGTGTGTGTGTGTGTGTGTGTGTGTGTGTGTGTGTGTGCGCGCGCGCGCGCGCGAGCATATGTAAACACATGCATCTGTGTGTGTTTGACAGCTGCAAACACTTTCTTGTCTGACTAATAAAATAACTTCATTCACGTAATTGTGTCTAAAACACTGAAGCACCGCTCCACTCTGGGGTGAGAGCAGAGGCGGATTTAGCAATTTGGGGGCCCAAGGCGAACACAGACATGGGGCCCCTTACACAAAATTTTCAACAATCTTACCTTCAACTGGTTTCGTGAAACTCTCTCCTCTTCTGACACGAGTTATTTTCCCTTTTTATTAGTCCTCTTTTTTCCTGTATTTCCCTTCTTTTGAGCGCTTTCAATATTTGCTCTGCTTACTTTTTCCTGTCAGTGCTCCTGTGCTTTTGCCTTTGTTATTATTTTTCTATTTTCCATTTTGGTCTATGTTTTCCTCCCTTTAAGCATTTTCCATTGTCTTTCCTTTCTGCTTCCCTTGATGTTTACATCGAGAAACAACGTCAATTTCAGAAGTGAAAATAAAAGCTTTTATGAAGCAAGCAGCTTCTTTTTCTTATTGGAGCCACTAGGATAACTCCATTTCATGCTTAATGTTTTGACTATCGCTTTGAGTTTGTTATGAACGCTCCCGCCTCTCTTCTTCTTCTTGTTTGTGGTCTTTGGCAAACAACAATTTGGTGCATTACCGCCACCAACTGGATTGGAGTGGAATGACTACCAATCACTTCCTGTTTGTGCATCACCATCTTAATAACCCTCTTATGACCATAATTATAACAGGGCTGCCTGGTATTTTTTTTATCTTGTGGTTGTAAAATTGTAATAAAAGTGCAAAGTGTGTGTTTTCAGAGCAACCTCAGCTTTCAGTGTATGGTTTGTATTTAGAATTTATTTCTATTAAAGCCTTTAAAAAATCCGCTTAAAAGTGAAAAAAGCAAAAGACTGATTTGAATTTTTTTTACATTTATTACTGAACAGGAACTTCAAAATGACTGGGCGAACAATTTGGAATGAACAATTTAAACTTTGAACTGTAATGCATCTATTCTTAAAAAAGTGTGAACCTTGGTGTCTTTTTTTAGCAGTTTTTAAGACTTTATTTTTGTAAACTTTCAGACGTTTTTATTTGATGTGGTAGACCTTGAAGCAGTTTCTCTCCAGCTGCAGGCAGAGTCCCACTCTGCACACCTCACACCGCCATGGGGTGCTTCTCTGGCACACCGTGCACTGCTATACCAAAAACTTTTGTTTTAGCAAATATAATTATTTATTGTAAAAAGGTAAATAATGCTGGAATGAAGCTGAATCTTACAATTAGCAAATAGTTGAGTGTTGTTCAAAAAAAAAAAGACTGAACAAACATTCATACCCTGGTTCAGTGGAGATCTGTCCTTCTTTGTGGTCACTGTCTTCAGATATAAGCCTTCTGGGACACCTAATAGATCGTGTTGATTTTCTTTGAGGCCTTTCCATAATTTCATGCTGGTTTTTATGCTAATTAGCTTCCCCGTTCCGTTATCCGGAATGTTGCGCTCCGTTTCAATCAGGCTGTACAGCAGGATTTCCCCTCGTAGCGATATTTTACGTATCTCTGATTGCTTCATGCTGTAGATCGTTGGAAAGCTGCTTTTATGTACTTTTAGGAACCGTTGGAATTTTTTAATCTGATCAGCCATTCAAAAGTTAAAAAATGGAGCATTTTGGATGACAAACTCAGCACGTCTCTGAGTCTGTGTTGTGATTTGTTGCGCTCAAGACAGGGAATCCCGGTGGCTACCGTAATTATATTGTATATGCACGAAAAGCCCCATTTTTAATCTTTTCAGCACTTTTGGAATTTTAATGATATCTTGAACGGTTCAGGAATTATGGTAACGGGAAGCAAGTCCAATCCCATCTGTGGCGACAGGTTGGTAATAAGAATATTGTGACATTAGGGGTGCCAGGGCTAGGAGGCCCCCCAACACAAGGGGGCCCCCGGCGGCCGCCTACCTATGCCTAATGGTAAAACCGCCTCTGGGTGAGAGCGCTGCTTTAACATCACAGAGAAGATTCTCCAGATCTCGTATTTTTCTTTGATATATTTTTAGTTCCTCCTCATAAACTAGACATTAGGCAGAGTCCGAGTTAAACGGAGAAACGTGTACTGACAACTTTATTTGTGAGATAAAATAATAATGGTGACTCAGTTTTTTTGACAGAACTCAACTGTTGAGGCTGTCTCGATCTGTTGGGTTTGCTTAGATAGAAACCTTTGAACTAATTGGAGAAATGAACTGAACTCAGTGCACTGATAAGTAGGTTGAATTGGAATGTTTACTTTATTACAGTGCCTTAAGATGATGCTTGTGAATTGGTGATAAAGAAATAAACTTAATTGAATTAAATTAAATAACCCTATTTTGGATGTTTATCATATCACTCCATAGCCATTTAATAAGCCCACTGAAGTGGTATTCTACCCTTTAGGATTAAAACCACAAATAGCTTCACAATAAAAATATGAATTAGGGATGCACCAATACTGGTATCGGTATCGGTAAAAGTTAACCGATACCTGGAACCGATACCAATGCAGTTGCTTGAAAATGGTTTCACTGTAACTTGTCATTTCTGTTCAGCTAATATTTTAATTTTGTGATGATTTCTATTCATATATTTTACTTTTTATCTACCTCACACAGTCTTTTCCTGTTGAAAACAGAGACGAAAATAAAATCTGTATTCCAAATTACTGCATTTTTTTTGTGTGGTAGAAGTATAGGTATTGGTAATTGGTATCGGCGAGTATTCAGATCCAAGTATCAGTATCGTATCGGTTTGGAAAAAAGTGGTATCGTTACATCCCTAATATGAATTTGATGTACACAAAACACAAGAGATGAAGCAAAAACAAAACCTGTACAAACATTAAATAAAACGGTGTAGATCGAGTAAAAAGCCTGTCTAAATAAATAGCTATCAAAATACTTTTAAAATAATCAATAGAACCAAGATTAGTTAAAGGACAAGTTACCCTTTACCAGAGACTTACTCCATCCACATTTCCAGTTTGAACAATGCTCCATGAGAAAGTGTTGCCAGGCAGACTGGGAGGGCAGGTCTGCAGCAGTGAGTGACACAGACTGCTTACCCCCTCCCTACCCCGCCCCAGGTGCTCTGAAGAGCAGGGTCTTCAGGAGCTTTTTGAAAATTGAAAAGGAAGCTGCATTTCTGGTAGTGCTTGTAGTCTACAAGCGGTAGAAGCGGGACAAGGACCCTCTCTCCCGCTCTCTAATCAATGAGAGAGATGCTGACTGCAAGAAGTAGCAGAAACCGTAAATAAAACTTGCAGATGGTTGAAAGCTGGTGTGTGGCATTTTGCATTGCCTTGTTGATGCATGTGGGCTACTGTAGCTTCAATACTTACTCTGAACTGCAAGGAGGCGAACATTTGTACACACTGGGGATTTCAATGAGTCCATGGATCTCAGCCTTTGACTAGATGATCTGTGCCTGTGAGAAGACATGCGGATTTCAGTGATGTTGCCACCTGTTCATTTTAAGATTGAATTAAGGTTCCAGATCATGCTATTTTAAAACTCTGAGAACAAAGGTAGACACAGTATATGATCAAATATTACTGTTGTCACCATTGAGATGTCATTTAAATAACTCTTAAATAAGAGTTATTGTCATCATCCATTTCAGTGAAACTCTGCTCATGCCCACACCGACATGCTAACATCAGCATCTTAGGCCAGTTAGTTACCGTATTGGCTATGGTTGTCCAGTGGTGAAGATGTTTGCCTGCCATCTCTGTTTTGCCATGTGCTGATGTGGGTTTGAATCCCGGTGGTGTCTCCAGTAATTTAACCGGCTGAAGGACATTTCATTTTTTTATATTTTAGTGTTATTGATTGTTTTCCGCAACATATTTTACATCTCTAAACATCTTTGAACTTGGTCATTTCCAGGCAGCATTTCAGTTGGTTTACTCCGATCACCTGATTGAAAACACAGGTGTAGCTCATAAAAAAGAAAAAAGTTACTGCTGACACGGGATGTGAAACCGCTCAAAACTGCATGCCAGCCCACTTACCACTAGATTACCGAAGCTGTTACATGAAATGTGTGGCCAATTTCACATATCCTACACAGGCTGGTGGAGACAGGTTTCAGACCAGAGGCTAGCTTCTGGGAGAGGAACAGAGCCTGATGTTGGAGATGGAAGGAAGATGGAGTGACATACAACGTATACATTTGGCTGTTTTAGGAATTTCAAAATAAAATTCCAAATTTTGCAGCTGAACCAGGAAAATTCATGAATGCAGCCAAAAACAAGTTTGGAGTTATTTTTTTTTATGAGGGAACAACAATATTACATGCTAAAAAGCTCCAAAAAGTATGTTTTCCATGATATGACCCCTAAAAATATTTTAATCATGGTTTATAAATGTCTCAATGGTCAGGCACCTTCATAGCTGTAGGACAGGGATCCTCAAGAAAGGCCAGGTTTTCCAGCAGACACCGTGAGGGCCGGATGCTCTTCTAAAATACTTAAAAATTCTAAAATTATATACATATACATATATATATATATATATATATATACATATATATATATATACATATATATATACATATATATATATATACATATATACATATATATATATATATATATACATATATATATATATACATATATATATACATATATATATATATACATATATATATATATATATATATATATATACATATATATATATATACATATATATATATATATATATATATATATATATATATACATATATATATATATATATATATATATATATATATATATATATATACATATATATATACATATATATATATATATACATATATATATATATATATATATATATATAT